TTGGCGATTATATTCGCCTAGTGGAAAATTTTGCACAGCGTGTAGCTCGTGCTATGTTGTCTGAAGAGTCAGTCTAGTTTACTTTACACAAAACCAGTTTTCTTTTTTTTTTAGTCAATAAAAAGTAATTCTGTTTGAGAAAATACGTTTGGTGTCGACAAAAAGTTATTTTGTTCAACAAAATAACTTTTGTATCGACAAACTAACATTTATCACGACAAAATAACATCTTACGAATCAACAGACGTTTACCATATAACTTTAACACAAAATTTATTGACAAAAAGGATCGACGTTTCGTGTCCATCATGGACGCATTCTCAAGATCAAGTGAACAAAATAAATATAAGATCTGTCTCTTATACACATCTCTTGCTACCCTAATAGTAAGCAAGTTGGCCTGCTGGAAAACTACGGTACAATATAGAATTGTAAGCCACAAATGACAGCTAAAACAGCATTTTGGTTTACATGTGGCTTATAAATTGTCTTTAATAATATCTTTGTAAAAAATAATGACTTATAAATTGTCTTTAATAATATCTTTGTAAAAAATAATGACTTATAAATTGTCTTTAATAATATCCTGTCTCTTATACACATCTTATCATAGAATTCCTGATAGAAATTGGCATTTATAAAAGAAATCAGTAAAAATTGTGTATTAAATTCATAACTTGTAATGTATATTTCGGTATTAGTCTATAATATTTCAATACTAAATTTTATTTTTCTCTGTAAACGCCACTGTCAACATTATAGTTTGAATCAAAAAATATAATTAGGAATATTATATAGTACCGTAACACTTTTAATAACACAGTAGCATACACTATCAGTGACTGATGCTCTAATATTAGCCCACCTTTAAAGATGCGGTGGTATTTGGTTTTTCTTCGTTGTTTTTTATTTTTTCTCATTTTCCGGGTTGACTTCCGTTAGAAGTATTTCACTACAATCTATTAATTAAAATACAACAATAAAAGCGCTACGTTTTCATGAAGTAGTGCTGCAATGTATGTATTTATAAGCCTAAGTGTTAATATGACCCGCTTGCTACCCTAATAGTAAGCAAGTTGGCCTGCTGGAAAACTACGGTACAATATAGAATTCTAAGCCACAAATGACAGCTAAAACAGCATTTTGGTTTACATGTGGCTTATAAATTGTCTTTAATACTATCTTTGTATAAAATAATGCCTGTACTAAACGCAATTTTTTTTTAGCATAAAATCAACGATTTTCTTTGCATATAATATTCATGTGCGGTATTGACACAAAGGGCATGGGTGGGTTAATATTTTCTAACGCCTAATTTATGCTTAATATAGTGAACGTCCTGCAATCTTTTAGTAACCCATACTCTAATTTAATGGGTGGCGTCAGTGGGGGATGGGGGCAGTGTCCCCCGTCGAGGAGAAAAACCACAATTCTTCGGAAAAAATAAGATGTATTTTCTACATATATTAG